AAAATTATCCATTCTTTCTCCCTAACAAACAATTTTTCTCCTTAACTAACATACCAACAAGAATTGGATGTATCATTTCATAGTTAAGATTTATAGAGAGCTTCAATTTGAGCAATCCCATTTACAAATTCCTAACCATTGTAAGCAAATGCATAAAACTTTGAAAGTTCTACCTGTCAGGAGTGCCTCCCTCAGTAACCAAGAAAGAAACCTCTCAACTCCATTGTTTGTGGAATTAAAAGTACTTTTACTGGTTATAAAAACATAGCAGCGAAGTAAAGCAAGGTCTGAGGCAGAAAAGCGCGAAATCATACATATTAAACATTTGCCCAGCCCCCTCCCTCCAACAACCCCCACCCCATTACCCAATCTGCAACTCCCTTAGGTGTCATGTGGGTTGCATCTCCAAGAAGCATCATCAGGTTGATATGCAGGACGGTTGGCCTTGACCAAGTCCAAACACCGGCCACCAGCATGCGCAGAAGATGGTGAGAACCAAACTCCCTTTTTGACTAATCCTCCTGTACTAAATTCCCATCCCAAATACCATGCCCTCTCCCCATTTCCATGGCAGCCGAAAGCAAGTAAGCGAAGCAGAGGCTGACAATACCCAGCACAAGGCCTACTAGTCTCTATTCATAAATAATAAGCCAGCTGCATTAATTTCTGGCAGACTTCCCAACTTATTAAACAAGGTAAGTAAAAGTCAACTACATAAAGGAGATTGTAGGATGCACGCTTTCTAGCTAGCATTTTTCCGTTTCATTAAATAATATCAGCAACATTAATGAATGTTATAAATTTCTCAAATTAGTGACGTCCTCCATTTGCTACGAATGTAACATATGGCTGTAGGTCCTACTTGGGGAAATCTTATACATGAATAAATTATTTGATCATTCAAATAAAAAAGCAAGCTCGGAGATGCAGAATATTTCAAAACCGCTAAACAGTAATTCCTCTTTACAATTACTTTTTTTTAAATTCAAAGACATAACATCAAGTGTTATTCAGAGAGCACTTGGTTAATTTTTCCTAGACATCCATATGCTTAAATTTATAATGTACAAATGTTTAAGAGAGATTTAGATAGAGACACTGGCAAAATGAAAGCTCTAGGAATGCACAGCTGCTTGATCCACCCTGCCATTATAGGCAGTCAGTCCCAGATTTCTTACAAAGTCCTGAGTTAGTTACCTCATATGCTATCACCCTATTTATTTCAGAAGACACGGTTCTCAAATGTATCCTCTTGTCTTTAAGTGTCACTGGATTTTCTAAAGCTTATTCTCTTTCCAAAGCAAGCTATAAAGTTGAAAATTGGAAATTAACCTAAAATCAGATTACTTACATTAGCAGAGAGAAACAACACATGGCTGACTGAATAAATACATAAATACATTTTAAATATAAAAAGTTTAACATTTAGAAAAAAAAGACAAAAGGATCTACTCATTTTGGGCAATTATTACTAATTATTATTGTTATCTAAATTACAAGCTACTTCTCTGATCATCATGTTAACAAATCTAAAATATAAAGAAAGTCCCTTTTATGGTGATATAACTGTCTGGAAGAGACAAAAATAATTCTCCTGCTTTTTTCCTTGCAAAACTAAAGAAATTGATAACTTTTTAAAATAGGTTTCTCATAGAATTCCTCCTTTCTTAAACATTTCCTTCTTTCAATACTAATATTTAATTTTTCTAATATTTACACAAGTCTTTTTCACTATTTTTTCAAAGGAGAGATTATAATTAGCCACAGAACTAAAGGAATATTTGATTACGAATGAAGGCAAATAAATGTGACCCAGGATCCTGCAAAATTTCATCAGCTTTTAAATGAAAGATGGAATGGGTGAACAAAATAACAGATTTTGAAATCCTACTGCTTATTATCAGCTGTACTATTTAAAACTGGCCTTTTCTATCTGTCTAGCCACTGTGTTTCCTGCAAATTTATTCTTAATTCCATTCCTTTTTAAAAAAAAAACTTTCTGGATCTGACTATCATATGTTTCTGTTTCTAACTTCAAACATTTCAATATACATTTTCATCATTTTCAACACTATATAATTATTTGTAGTAAAATCAAAACAATAATTTAAAAGGAGTTATTGAAATACTGTTAAAATGCAACAAACACTGTGTCCAAAAGTAGGGCCAGCTCCAGTTAATTTTCATTGTTCAACTGCCCTGTGTGAAACATAG